TTTGAAACGACATGCCCATCCAGATTCATTTTATTTGTTCATACTTTTTAAATATTAAACTACAAATGATACTAAGTCTCACCATTCTCATAAATCTCAAGTGTTTTGAAATTATCAAATCGCTTTTATATTTGCATTTATTTTAACTGTGATCTTTAGATGAATAGAAATTTGTTGATATCCCAGAAATTAACTCTAACTATATGCTATCCCGAGGTTTACAACCTGCATAGGAAGTGTGGAATGAATAGCACCGATTTCAGATCCAGTTGTTTCAGACTTTAACGGTAGTTATTAGGCCAGATACCATCTCAATACCTTATGCGCTTCAGTAATCTAAGTATGATGAATGGTGACAGAAATAAAATACTTTATTTCTGACGGTTATTTTTGAAAGCATCGCCACTCTCTGAAATGTCACTTATTGAAACTATGATATGCATCTTCTAGTTTGAATTAATCCATAGTCTCGGGGTAGTACTTATCATAAACTTCTTCTAAGTGGCAGCTGTTACCACTAAGTCATCTTTAGCCATGAGATTCACTCAACAAAGCGGTTATTATTTATATTACACCTAACGTTACTAGTTGATAAAGTTTCAGTCAGAGTCATTCAAACTGAGTAACCAGATGACTGTCTATAACTATACTGATTGTTACGTTCACTTCAGCTTAGCTTATTGTTTTATCGAGTTTTATAGAGGGAACCAAGTGTTTTAAATATCTGTTTATCTTTTTGTTTGTTTTAATACACTACTCCAAGATTACACAAGTAAACTACACCTTATACGATTATTTATCATTATCATTATTATCTCCATAACGATAAGAATAGTGGAAACAGAAAGGTACTAAAGACATCAGACAATCAATGTAGGTCAAAACTTAGAGAAGCAAACACGACGTGATACTAAAGGATGAAGTATACAGGTCATCAAATTCTAAGCAACTAAACATGTGTTTGAAAGGAGGGAAGAAGGTCAAGGGGATGAAAATTGAATTTATATTTGAAGTCATTAAGTCTTTTCTGGCTAATGCAGACAGTGATAAGGGCTGCAATAATTTTTCTCTAATTCCCATAGCATCGGATGTATGTAATATGCGAGTGTGAATTCCATTCAAAAGATTTTGTGAAATCCGATAGATGATTATGAACGCTTTGATCTTATCTCTTAGATGACCACTATCGACTAAATGCAACAGAATTGAATTTAGTATTGACTTCACTTGTCTTTATCCTAGCCATAATGTCAGGCGTTCAGTGACACGTTTGTTAAGCTGCCTAGTGATACACCCAATGTAGTTTTCTCCACATGAGCAGCTGTATTGGTAAATGCACATAGAAGCAGCAAAACTGGGAAATAAATAGTTCAGTTGAGATCTAAACTGTATATTGCATTATTTGGGAAAGATGTCCAACAGAATCATCTCAAATCCTCAGTTACTTTAACACTTATCAATTAAACTAGTTACCATTGCTGCCTTATTGAAGTTTTCAATAAATTTTCTGTTTAACACGTGCATGTTATTGAATCCTTGATGGTATTTTAAATGTGAAAGGATATCTTGAATAACTGGGATGCTTCTGCAACACAAGTCTCAAAACTATTCAAGGTGATAGATCTAACTGCCTTGCAATGCACGTACCAGACCTTTTGCACAAGGTACTTCATGATAACTGTAATTCGGTGCATGTTCAATAGTGGGGGTGTTAAAGCATCAAAGGTAACTAAGATAGAAACAATTTTGGTAGGAGAGACCTAAAATGAACTAGTTCTTTTCTATTTGCAGATATTTGCTCCAGAATTCCTGAAGCAATGTCTCCATAGAAACTTATGGCCCAACTAAGATTCTAGTTCCTTAAATCTTTGGCTTTTGCAAGTCGCATTTTTTAATTTTACGAATTACTGAATCTTTTCGAAATGAGTGAAACTAGCAATTGTACAGGTATGAAAATAATGTTATCATTCAGTCACTAGACTGGAATTAAATAGTTCTTTTCTTCAACTTCTGTTCATTCATGACATAGCCTAACCGTCAGTCAGCATCATCAATAGATATCCAGTCTCACTCTCAGTGTGGTTGGCATTAAAGTTCTCAGTTTCTGATTACAACTTCTGGGAGTTTATCTGCAATAAAGTGAATAATTTACACTGAATTTAAAATCATTTGAGAGTTTGCTAATCTGGGATGAAGACTACTTCAAATCGATTAGTCCTGATAAACTCCCAAATGAATTACTTTTTGATATTTCTTAATGGGAATTTCGCTAAACATTGCAATGTAGTGGTTTTATTGATAAAGACAGCACCTACACAGATATGAGGATGTTGGAATTTATAATTAGCCAAGAACGGTAATAAATTTTGACTGAAAGTACCTATAAAGTACTGTGTATATGATCTTACTGGAATCACTCTCATTTACGACATGCAACCATACTGGCTGGAAGATGATCGAGACAGTAGAAAAAATCCATTCAAACGTAGCTCACTTGTACACTAAACCATTATTTTTTTCCCTTGGGTTCCTAGTGAAACACAGGGCATCAGCAGCACGCCTGCATTGCACTCTCTTCTCTTCAGTCTTTTGAATCTAAAACCACGACTGCCCATAAGCTTTCATTTCTTCCTTACATGATCTCTTTCATGTCACCCTCAGCTGGGACAGCCAACTTGTCGTTTCCCATGCGGGTTCCACTCGAGGGACTGGCCTATCGCGTGATGTCCTCAATCGGCCTTCTCGGTGTATGCCAATGCGTCTCCACTTTCTTCTGCATATTTGTTGGGTAATATGTTCTTGGTTGGTTGGTTCCCAGAATTCCTTGTTTCTTATTATTCTGGTAATCTCATCTGATCTTCAGTATCGATCGTTGGCAGCTATTGATGAATGTTTCTAGTTTGTTGGAAATGCTTTCGTGACACGCCAAGTTTCTGAACCATATAGCAGTACTAACTTGACACTGGTGTTAAAAATTCGGATCTTGTTCTTTGTGCTGAGTGCATTGCAGTGCAGTGCAGTGAAGTAGATCTCCACACTGATTTCAGGTTAATGAACTCCTGTCTTGCTTTTCCCATCCTGGTTTTGACATCCTTGTTTGTGCCGCCTGTAGATGAAACGATGCTGCTCTGCCTAGGTAGGTGAAAGAGAAAACTTCCATTAGGTCTCTCCCGTTCTAATGATTGCTGCTTGTTGTTGATGCTGTTGTTGGTCGGGCATCGTCACGACCTCCGTCTTCTCCACGTTCACTTGAAGTCCCGTCTTCGCTGCCCCGCCTTGCCTCTTCTGTCAACTTGTTAGTTTTCGCCTGTAGATCTTCAAATCTCTGTGATAAGATGTAAATCATCATCGGCGGCAAAATTCAAATCTTCTAGTGTCTCTCCATCGGTCAAACAACATAGAACCCTCTTCTCGCTCCTCACTGTTTGTTGCATGATCCAGTCAAACGCAATCAGTAAGATCATCGGTGATAGTAGACAACCTTGTTTCACTCCTGTCTTCACTTCACTTCAAAGGCATCACTGAGCTTCCCATTGTGAATTACTTGGCTGGCATGTGGCGTCTTCATATAGTTGTTGAATGGGGCTGATAAATGTTTGTGGTATTCCGTAGTGTTGAAGCAGTTTCCAAATTACTTCTCAGTCGACGCTGTTAAAGGCTTCTTCAAAGTAGATGAAGTTGAGGTAGAGAATTGAGTTGACTGCCATTCTATACTCTGTTCTATGATGATGTGAAGCGTAGCATTGCAATTTGATCCACACAAGATTTGTTCTTTCTGAAGCCAGCCAGTCAGCTAGCCTGTTCCGGTCGTAATTTTGAATCCAGCGCATCCTTTAGTCTCTCCAGGATGATGCGGCTTAATATTTTGCTTGCTCTGGGTGGACAGCAGCACGATACCTCTCTTGTTCGGGAGTTTGACGAGGTATTTCTTCTTCCAATCAGCAGGCAGGTATTTTTCCTTCCTTCCTTCCTTGATTCCAAACCTTCTGCAATAGTGGTGTGAGCATGTCCGCTGCTGTTGTCTTCGCGTCTGTCTTCGGTGTAGGGTTGCCAGCCTTATGCATAATCTTCCCTCCTTACCCGGGCTTAGGACTGGTTAGTAACTAGTGAACAAGTTAACCAGGCGAGGTAATGATTTTGGAATCACTGATAACAAAACATCTAGGGGAAATATATCAACACTTATATGATGCAAGCTCACATCACTTTCGTTGAGAATGGTTTAAACAAATGCTTACTGTCGTAATAACACCTAGTGTGCAACCGTAAGTTAGGTCTTTGTGTTATCATGCATTTCATGCTTGCGCTTCAATCCTCAAAAGGTGGATTTTGTTGTTTGGCGGCAGACTTTATCTCACCAAGACTGATATTCTGGCAACTGTGTTCGCTGGGCTTCCACAAGAACAATCAATCGTGTCTCTGTACAACAAAAGTGCCCAGCTCCCAACTGAGAATGATGGCTATATACCAGTTAAGTATGAAATTTGAACAAAGCAGGAACAAGCAGATTTATGGGATAAAATGGGAATAGAATTTTAAAACACGAAACAGGCAAGAAAAGGCTGTGACTTATTTTTCTCTACCGTGGTAATTAAATATTATTCTAATCACATCATATCTTCCCACCTACCTTTTATGTTTTCTAACTATTCGTGTGCTTACGTAATCCCTAAATCGTTTGTTTGTCCACATTCCCCATACAAACCAATAATTACCAATCTAATCATATATATCTACATTATTATTTACTTCGATGCTTAGGTATGGAATTCTGTTTTCTTCTGTCTCCTTGTTTCACTTTGTTACTGTTATCATTGAATTTCGGAACCTCTTTTCTCGCTTCCAACCCACTCGAGGTATGTTATGTATTTAAGACTCCAAGTAATTTTGCTCTAATTGAAGATGGATTCAGCTGATAAATCTCTGTGGAATAAAATAATGTCATTTTATCCTGCATATCTGTTATTCCTTATTTTTTTCACATTTATCAAAAGAACGAAATGCATGAAATAAATAGTATATATCATTTCCATCAATTTTAGAGCAAATAATTATTTCCTATATCACATAATAGTTTTCCAAAACTGTATTAAGTAGATGATACTAACATTGTGAACATCGTGTTCTTATATTTCCTGAACAGTACTGAAGACAAAATCAGTGGAGAAAGATCTTATCAGAATGTTGCTTAATCGATATGAACAATTCGGTGTTATTGGACGTCCAGTGAATGACAGTAAAATTAAAGTGGATGTTCGATATGGATTGCAACTTTTCCAAATTTTGGACTTGGATGAAAATAAACAAATTTTACGAACTAACTGCTGGTGTATGCATGTGAGTATAAAATAAAATTTTAATTTTGCTTCAGTATAGTTATAAGTATTCCTTCTTCTTGTAAACTGATTGCACAGAAGTAATCACTACAATTTTAGAAAGTTTACAAGCAAGAAGAGTTATATGTAGGATGAAATGAAGGAAAATTTACTCAACGATGCTTAAAAATCCGTAGTGACAGTAACTATAATGCCAGTTGTAATGATCAAATCAACCCTTTATGGTAAAGTAACGCAGACAAGGCGTTGATAGTGACACAGAAATTAAAAACTTCAACAATGTATTGTATAAAAGCAAATCGTCTATGCAAACAACTAATCATGATACTGACAAGTTACGGTGGATTTTATTATGGTAATGATTGCTCCTTCAATGAAATACGTCCAAACGTATGTGAGCATTTTTCCAAGCAATACATTCTCATGAGTAGTAGTTTTGCTTGAAATATTATTGAAATAAAAAAGACCTAATCATCTCGGGTTAATGTCCATTGCAAATCTATTGAGTATGCATTAATTCCGCTCATAATAACAAACTTCTCATGGTATAATTCATTTTGTGTAGTTACTATCAAGTGATCACTCATACGGACTGCTTCAGCTTAGAAGAAAAAAAAGGACAAGCATTTGAGCAGCTTATTTTGTGACATAAGTGCAATTACACATAATCGACACTTCACTCGGCAACTGAATAAAAATTTATTAGTCGAGATGACAACGAGATCTAGTTAGTGATCGAGTTAAGCAGTTACTTTGTCAACCTGTTGCTTAAGCTACGCCGAGGACACTGATTTCAGTCATGAAATGATGAACTTTCCCTCTAACTCTAGTCACTGATTAGTATTTGGTGTTCCTGCGCAACACCTGTTCGCGGAGGTGTCAAAGTTGTTCTCAACTATAATAGAGTTCAAAAACGTTTCCTCGGCCCAGTGTTTTTCTGATTAATGCATTCGTATAAACTAAAGATAGTTCAACAAAGATGATCAGGGTTTCTTCAGAAACTTCACCTGTCGCAGCATGTGGTTTACCGCTCAAAAAGCTTTCAAATTAACAAGAATTGAAAATCGAGAAGAAAATTGCATTGACATTATGTGCTGTTATAACTTAAGTACTTTGTCCTTGAAAATAGAGTGAGAAATAAGTTTTAATACACAATTTTCAGAATGGACGGACTCTCTTCTTCGTTGGAATGAAAGCGAATACGGAAATATTAAAACTGTTCGTATATTTCCTTCGCAAATTTGGACGCCTGACATAAAATTATATAACTTGTAAGTGAAACAATTTCTCTTTACTTGTTAGAGAATTGACAGTTCCTTTTTCCGTAGAATAAAAATTAGAGGAATCTAATTTCATACCTTTGATATGCCTAACCTAGTTATATTCTGTGACAAACCTTATTAAATGTAAAACAACTAGCTATGATAGCATATAAATATATTTGAAGGTGAAAGTGTAGAAAAGACAAGACGAAAATTCGGGAAGGAATGTTTGTTATTGACATCTTGTACAATGGTCATCAAATGTTGTACACTTTCCACTACGACAATCATTTGCACAATGTGCTTCATTTCCTCTCCTGTTTCTGTCTTGATTTGTTTTTGTTACACCCCCACTGTCCCTTGCATCTCTCTGAGCAGAATCTTCACCCACTGCTGGTATTTCTGTATGATTTCTGAGGGCCTCTCAACATATACTGCTTACATCAATTCTGATCAGCAGCGCCCATTATAAAGGTTTTTTATGCTGAATCCATACAAGTAAAACATACATTACGATAAGGTAGTTCTGTTGAAAACAACGCTTACTGAATGCACATCCATATGGAATGACGTCAGAACTACTTATGTTATTCACTCATGATAAATTTAAAGTGGCAGCTTGAGTAGTTTAATGGTGAAATTACTGACTTCAGTGTTGAATATCAGCAGGCATGAAGATTAGGTTAAGGAGTTCTCAGAATTTTTTTCCAAGACTATGTCACTGTAGTACTTTAATATCTCGCTTGGTAATCACACTACAAACCCAATAGGGTTACTAAGAAAAGTGACGCAACAGAAAAAAACAGAACTTCGATAACTCCAATAAATGGATGCACCTTATTTAGTAAAAGTGGTTACACAAGACCGCTTTCTTTAATATTATTTTGTATGAAGTTTTATATACTTCCCTTTCACTCAACAGGTTTCCTTTCTTTTATAACGATTAATAATTGTTTGACTATGAAATATGTTGTTATTCTTAAGTTTAACTGACTTTGCCGGATATTTGTAGATCATTGGATACTTTAGTCTTTTGAATCGCACGTATAAATCCAAGAGTTAGAGAATGTCGAGGGATCAGAGATAATAAACGACAGGTTTCCATTGCTTACTTTAGCTGCTGCTCATATATTGACTTGTAGACAGGAGGTGTCAGAGTTTAGTTCGCATAACAGTCGAGCAGCGTGGCTTGAGACAAGACATGATCAGGTAAGTAGCAGCCCAGAAAGTATGTTTGCAGTTATAAAAAATGGATAGATTTTAGTTTAAACTAAATATCTGGAGACTTTATCAACTACCATCCTGTGACAAACAAGTGTATACTTGTTGCTATCAGTTTCAGCCGGGGAAAGGTTTAGTTTTGAATCTTCAGTGATTATTAACCGTCATTTTGTGTGACTTTCATGGTTTTTAGCTCTCAAAAGTATTCAAAATCTATTAATTATTCGAAATACTGCAGCTAACCACAGTGCTAAAATGTTTCACCAGTCACCCTTTAGTAAAGAGGGTAATGGGTGTTACTTGAACGAAGAAAGTGATATTATAAGCCATTAGAAAATCAGTATACTTACCAAGCTTAGTTTTCTTCTGCAACAGGAAGCTTTATGCCATGTTCTATGGTTTTCATTATTTTTGCTGTCTAAAAATCAAATATATTTTTAAAATCCCAATGAGGTAGGAAATAAATTTCTGACACTTCATGATTTCGTGGAAATCGCTTCTTCAGAGAATAAAACCTGTACAAGTTGTCGCATGTTTAGATAGTAAATGGCGAAAATTCAGATCACGTTGTTCATATATGATAATAATATGGGAATAAATGTCCTTATCAGTTATTAGTTCTTGAGTTCAATGTGAATTTGTGAGTGTGTGTGCACACGATAATTAGTGTGAAGGTGTGAGATTAGTACTATAGATGAAGAATTCAGTTTGTTTGTGTATAAGTACTTTACTTATGACTACCATGTGTAGCGCGTTGTTTCGGATCGATTGTCCGCTGAGACCCAACTTGAGTGCCAGTTGATTTGAATGTAGAAGCATTATCCAGTTTATCGCATCTCGTAGCTTGGAACTTTTCAGATAACCTAGAAATCAAGAAGAGTTTCTATAGCCACTTTTTCAGTCTTCCTATATTACCGGTCAACGAATTAAAATTGTGCATTTTTGTGCATAAAAATAATAAATCTTACAATAAACAGAAAACCTATCGTGGTTGTTTAACTGCGAATGATATCTCTCGTCTCTCCAATTGATTTAGACCATATGTTCATTACTTATCCTAATGACATTATTTCTGCTGAAAAACTTGGAATTAATTTACAAGCTGTAAGTGGCTAGTTCTTTTTTCATAGGTCTATTTATTTGTGCGGGCTATGGGAGCAGGCTTATAGTATGGAGAGTTCATCATAGCCAATAATGTGCGTAAAGGTAATACTATTTTAGTTATTTTCGGCAAGGTGTGAATAAGTGAAAAGTATTTGCCTTGAATTTTCAACATGTCAAAAAATGTTTCAAAGATTAGCCCTGGCTTCAGTAACTGATTACGAAGCTGACCGATTTTATTCTCCATTTGTTTTATCACACCTTTAGCATTCTCTAAAGCAATGAAGTGATTTTTTATATGTTTTTCTACATTGTTTCCGCCATGGTTTCAGTGCGGATGAGCGTTTACGTGAACAGCGAGAAGCTCGCGTTGTGGTTTCAAGTACTGGTGAAACTTTATGGCTTCCACAAGCACTGTTTAAGAGTACATGCGAAGTAGAGATCAGCTACTTTCCGTTGACACGCAAGTAAGTCATTTTTTGACTATTTTGAACTTTAAGGAATTTTATGCATTCGATTTACTGATATTGCCTGACTTCTCTGCAAACATTCCACTTTTATATTTGAGCTATGTGCTATATCTTTCTATTTTGGCCTTAAATATCCAAATATCAGGCCAAACCATGGGTATGAGATGTATTTGTCGGCTGTTTTTTCAGTTATCACTACACAGAGTGAAGTGATGTAGTCTTCATAGTCCATCAGTAAGTATGTATTTCTGGAACAGTGAACTATGAAACCACACCAAATCACGAATACTTGCTCTGTGAGTCTTCAAAAGCTAGCACACTTTGCCTGATACCTAGAAAAACTAAAATGTGTCTTCTTATTGAGAATATACTTGCATGGAAGTGAAAATCAACTGTGAATTTTCAAATAATAGTAGTCACTGGGTCAAACATACCAAAAAACATGCCTTACTGAACTATCAACGCGCAAGCAAGGATAGATGTTGTGGATGCTGGAGCTTAATTAGCAAGAAGCCCTGTTGCAACTAGTTTTCGGGCTTGTCAATGATCATCATTAATTGTAAAGAAATTATTGTTCCTTCGGTGTTTTGCGACTACATCGCCCAGAGCTAAAGTCAGAGACTTAATCAATGAGCCGTTCAAGCCATTACTGATACCTTGTAGAACTGAATTATGCACATGAGCAGGTCACCAGTGGGTTGTTAATGTAGCCGTTTAGTCCTTTGTGCTTAGCATTGATGGGAGTCTATCAACGAAGTACACCACAGTGACATATTACCTCGCTTAATGGTTACTTTAAAATACTTGATTGATAAACTTCAACCAGTGCTAAGCACAACGGATTAGACACCTCCTTCTTGATGTCCAAGTTTTGTAGAGAGAGATGTGAATGCTTTATTCGAACAACTTTTTTTCTGTCATCAAGAGAAAGAGATTCAACAACGCTTACGACTTACTAAAGGTATTTTTGGGTATGTCCATTTAACGAAAGAAAAAGTACTGTTTTACAGTTGCCACCTCTAGATTCCTTCATCAGTGAAATGTTTGCTAAAACTTTCTAAACATAAAATTCATGTTTAGGAAAAGTTGATGCATGAGCAACAAATACCTGGACCACAACGATGACAGCATGGCAGCATACGAACAGATGTGAATACAAAGCAGAGTACATGTACCACACAGTGTAATGGCTTTTTTTTTTACTGTAAGATGCTTTACGGCACAATTTACTGCTCATAATTATGTTAAACTGAAGAGAGACAAACACATGTTGAAAGTAGGTTAAATAAATTATCTGTTGTCTATTTGCTAAGAAAAAATCAATGGATAGACAACTTTACTCAAAAGCTTATTTTGAACTTGTCATCGTCTACAAAATAACATCAGGAAACAAAAAGAACGAATGAATCAATCGCCTATGCGTAGTTGCCTGTTGAAGTCATCAGGACGTTTTAGTTGTTTCTTACCGTTAAAATTACTACAATCCATATTAGCATGCTATCTGAAGAAGAGAAGAGGTCCGGTCTTATACACTGTGCCTTAATTGCGTGCACTTTTGGACTGAGAAAATGGTTACTTTGATCATCTCCTTGTATAAAAATTCGACACAAAATGATGCTGCATTATTTATCATATGAAGACATCTAAAAGGCCAACACCAGATTGATTAAAAACATTGAGTTTGATATCAAAAACCTATCAAATACCGTCAATGTTTTTCTAGAAGGATTATGGTCAGCCAATAGTGAAAATACGCAATAACAACCCATTCAAACAGTCAATAAGAATTAGAGTTTAAAGGTAGTTCACTGATTAAAAATACTAGTGTTCAAAAGGAGTATTAACAGAAACATTTGTGTAGCATCTGAATCGATAGATAACCGCATACAGGGTTGGTAAGTCATGCATTCTCTTAGCTTTATAGGAAAGCTATCAGAAATCACTTCGGTTGAAGTTTTCTTCTGAGAGGGTTGTGCGGTAGTAATATGTAGGGTCTGTAGAAAAACTACCTCACATATCAGAAAACTACTAACATTAATTATACTTTTATTGTTTGGCTAAGAGTATGTGAAGTATGTGGGGAAACGTAACTCGTAAAGTAGAAAAATGGAATGTTGACTGTCGACGGAATGTACCCTTCTAAGAGCTAGATCATATGAATAAAAAGTTGATTTTACTTTTCTGAATAAAAATCCTGCACAGAATACTAGCAAGAACTGTTTGTCAGTGAGAGATGAATACTTTGTAGTAAATCATTTACTTTTATGGGGAGATAACACATAAAACATACGCCTCTATTTTTTAGTAACTTTTGTTTGTCAACTAAAAATGAAGACGGACAGGCTCTGCTAAACAAAGCTGACTGACAGGTAATAGATTCAGACGCTTTTACACTGGGTATTGAATTAAATTGTGTGTTTCTTAACTCATCTTACTGATAGGCATTAGCCCCTACTATTCAGGAAGAAAAGTTATGGGTTGGAACTAGTTTCTTTGGCGATAATCTATACTGATGACTTTGTAGCAGACTAAGCTTCACTGGATCCATACGTAGCTTCATATTTTTTATTAAACAGTCCTCCAACTGTTATTGTAATACAGATTATTGGCTAACGATAATGCCAACATACCTGTTACTAAGTCAGCCAGTTTCTGACCCAACAAGGTGGAGCATAATCTCTCATTGAAGCGATGTACTGAACTAATATTACTTGCTGCTATCCCAGGAACGGTAACCAGGTAGGACAGAGATTGAATTGATCACTAGTGGTTAAACAGTGAGTAAAATACTGTATTTATGTAGAATATACTCGTTATTCATAACTTATCACGTCACTGGACAAAAACGATGCGAATTAAAAAGTCATAATGACATGTCATTGCAAAAGATAAAATACTGACCGATTTTCCAGAACAGTTTATTTTTCCCCTTTATTAGGACTTATCCTATATATAAAACTAACTGAAATACAGTGTGTAAATTTTGTTTGTGAATTATGAGTTACTGGGTGATAATTTAAGGTGAAATTAAAAGTTGGACCGCGGCCGGATTCCAACCAGCGACCGCAGTCCAAATTTTCATTTCACCTTCATTCACCACCCAGTAGCAAGGAGTGACTTTGAAGGTTATCCTAGCAACTGACGAAATAACCAATCGTGTTTCTCTATTTTGCGAAAAATTATCTTTTCAGCTGAAATACAGTAACTTGATTGGTTATCTTGCAAGTTGTTAGGGTGGACTTTAAAGTTGCCCGTAACAATACTAGTCTACCAAATCACGGCTATCTCGGATAATCAAAATGATAATTAAGAGTTATTTCACGTTGTTATTCATCGTATACTGACATCAGTTGGAGGAACAAAGGAAACCTGGGAGCATTGAACAGCCGTTTTGTCCTGGTATGGGACCCCTCAGAAGTGCGCACCCACGACCCTGCCAGGGATCGAACCTGCGACCTTCAAATTCCGTGGCCAGCAAGTTTACCATTGAGTCACTGAGTCAGAATCCAATGGTCTATATTTCCAACTTCTGTGAGCTCATGATATAGCTCAACCACCATCCAATGTCAGCGTTGAGTACCTGTCTTCACAACAAACAATTTGAAATATTTCCAAATCCCCACAACTCCTCAAAATTCAATTATGAGTTAGTTGGAAAGATTTATGGGCTGTATTCCTTTGAAGTTGACGAGTCGTTGTACACTTTGCATGTTTAATTCTTAGAATTTTATTTTAGTCAGTAGATATCATTATTATATCATTTTATTATTAGTCCCCTGGGTTCCTAATGGAACATAGGGCTTCAGTAGCACGTCTCCAGTGAACGCTGTTCTCTGAGATCTTTTCAACCTGGTTCCACCACAGCCCACAACTTCTCATTTCCTCCTCGCACAATCTCCTACATGTCACCCTCGGACGTCCAACTCGTCGCTTCCCTTGGGGATTCCACTCGAGTACCTGGCCTGACGCGTGATGTCCCCAGTCAGCCTTCTCAGTCTATGCACAATCCATCTCCACTTCCTTCCAGTGCATATTTGTTCAGCGATAGGTTCTGGGTTGGTTCGTTACCCGGCTGGAGTTACTTGTTGCTTATTATTTCTGAACATCCGATCTTCAGTAGCCAGCCAACGTAGGCAGTTGTTGATAAATGTCTGTAGTTTGTTGGAAATGCCTTTCGTAACACACCAAGTCTCTAAACCATGTAGAAGCAATGACTTGACATTGGTGTTGAAAATCCTGACCTTGTTCCACATGCTGAGTGCAGTGCAGAAGATCTCCACACTGGTTTCAGGCTAATGAACGCCTGTCTTGCTGGCTTTCCGATCCTGGCTGGCTTTGACATCCTCGTCTGTGTCGCCACCTGTAGTTGAAACAGTGCTGCCTAGATAGGTGAAGGAGGCTACTTCCTTTAAGTTTCTCCCATTGATGGTGATTGGAGTTTGTTGTTATTGGTGGTGTTGTTGGTTGGGTATCTTCATCACTTCTGTCTTCTCTATATTCACTTGAAGTCCCGTCTTCGCTGCCCCGCCTTGCCTCTTCTGTCAACTTGTTAGTTTTCGTCTGTAGATCTTCCAGTTTGTGTGACATCAGGCACAAGTCATCGGCGAAATCCAAGTCTTCTAGGTTCTTTTCCGCGGTCAAACAGTGTATCCCCCTCTTCTCACAGCTCCCCACTGTTTGCTGCATGATCCAGTCCAGTCAACCACAATCAGGAATATCATGGGGGATAGTAGGCAACCTTGTTTCACTCCTGTCTTCACTTCACTTCAAAGGCATCACTGAGCTTCCCATTGTGAATTACTTGGCTGGCATGTGGCGTCTTCATATAGATGTTGAATGGGGCGGATAAAGGTTTGCTGTATTCGGTAGTATTGAAGCAGTTTCCAAATTCCCTCTCGGTCGACGCTGTTAAAGGCTTCTTCAAAGTAGATGAAGTTGAGGTAGAGAATTGAGTTGACTGCCATTCTATACTCTGTTCTATGATGATGTGAAGCGTAGCGTCGCAACTTGATCCACACATGATTTGTACTTCCTGAAGCCTGCCTGGTACGGTCGTAGTTTTGAATACTTTAGTCTCTCCAGGATGATGCGGCTTAATATTTTGCTTGCTCTGGGTGGGTGTGGACAGTAGCGTGATCCCGCGCCACTTCCTGCAAACACTTAGGTCGCCCTTCATCGGTAGTTTGACAAGGTAGCCCTTCTTCCAATCGACAGGCAGGCACCTTCCCTTCCTTCCACACCTTCTGCAATAGTGGTGTGGTGTGAGCATGTCCGCTGCTGTTGTCCCTGCGTTTGTTCTCAGTTCTT